AGGGAACCCGAACATGGGTAGTTTCGTCAGTGGACCTTGGAGCCAAACTCGGACGAGGGCATTTGAAATGTCACGCAAGACCAAGTGTGTTCTCTGTGGTTATCGAATGAAGTTGACCAGGATAGTGAGACAATAACCAGCAGGTCACCGATGGAGCGACACTCTAAGAATCTATACTGGCCTTTCGCTTAGTAGTCCTTCACGTCCGAAGAACGTGCGTAGTTGGTCAGAGATGATAGTTTCAAATACTTTCGAAAGAACAAATGTGAGGGTAATGGGTCGGTAAGTAGTGGGGTCAGAAAGATGGTCGCGATTGGGAATGAGAAACGTCAGGTCAAGGTTGGAGGGAAAGATTGAAAAGACGACGTGAAGTAGAAGCCACCTGGGGAGCATACATTTCGAGGACGATGGGTGTTGCAAGCAGTAGTACTGTATCGAATCAATAAACATCAGTGATTGCTCAGCTCACACTGCCCTGTTCTGAACTCCTCGCGTTTGGGATTGGATGCGAGGCGAGTACGTATGCAAACCACTGTCATTTACTAAGTTAAACCTAGTATCTTCATTGAATAAGAACAAATTCGAAATACTGTTTAACGACCATTTCTCTAGGTGATAAATTCTTTTAGATACATCAATTTTTTGAAAATTATACCTGTGAGCAATCGTGAAAGTCTGCACAAAAATGGGAATACGCGACAAGTGTTTCGTGCGAAAATTGGCAAATTGTCGATTAGAAAAAATATCACACTAGTTGTTGTTTTAGGCTTGTGCAAATTTTGAACAAAACTTCAAACGCTTGATTTCGGCAAATCCCGTGTTAGGCGGCCCGGATCGTAGCCCTGAAAAGACAACGACAAGTGCCATCTTTCACCCCAAGTACTGCGACAAAATCATTCAAGCCACAGCTCACGTGATCACACGCGCGTATACACGCGCTCATCTAGTGAAAAAGAAACCGTTGTTCGATCACGTGCAACACTCTGATCACACAAGGAATCAACAGATCTGATTCGGGGAACAGGAACGATTTTCGGATTAGATTATTCCTGTAGGTCGGTTATGCACACATACACACACACACACACACACAAATTGAACTACCGGAATTCATCACACAGAGCATCGCGGGGATAACGTACATTGGTGTGGTCATCTGAAGCGGATCGGACAGATCGTTTGCGCTGGATCTAGCCCGACCGGAACGGGCATCGCGATCACGCGCGGAACTCTGCGAACCCCGCTCGCGGCGAGCACCGCTACGACCGCTCAGAGATGTCCCGGCACCGGCGGCAGAGTTGTTACGACACACGGTGCGCACAAGCATGCGCACTACCCACACGATCGATATGACAACAATGATAGCCCCGGCAATACCGCCCAGGATTTTGTATAGTTGCACGCTTCCTTGGCCAGATGGATCGCAAAACGGGAGCACGGA